TTTATAATATATATATATAATCCAATGTATCCAATATCTTCTATATAACGTATAGATTGGATAAAATTTGGAGCAATGATAGAGTGATTTCAAAAGAGCCTATTATGGCTCAGGGGAGAGTTCATTCGCCTTCCAATGAGGTAACTCAGGTTTGAAACAGGCTGATTGACAAAAATCCTGACACACCGACCACAGACCTCACGAAAAATGCCCTCAGTGGTAGACGGATCATGAGTTATAATAAGCAGATCATGAGCCGCCGGGATGTCTTCGAGGTTTTCCTCTCCATATAACTCGAATATGGGTAAGATCCATCAAAAAAATCCTCCGCGAAAGCTTTTAGTTGTCCCACTCCAAGAGATTCCCTGTCTCCTGGATTTAGTTCAAAATTACGAGGTTACGAGTTGAACATTAAGAGTCGTAAGCTCAGGTCGTGTTGTTCATCATCGGTTGAAAAATAAAATAAAACAAAAAAGGGGCCTTAATTCGGAGCTCTACAGTTTCACTTGAAAAGGGATTTCTGACTTGAATGTAAATACCCTATGGATCGAAAACACATTTGAGCAAGGGCCGATATCTTTGTGTTAATACAATTATTTCTGTCAGACCTAATTATTTGATAATTATCATTTAAGCAAATATCTTACTTTCTTAATTTTCTTTGAAATTTTTGCATTTCCTTTATGTGAATTTTCAAATTGGGTTATTAAGACTGAAATAATATTTTTCTAATTCTGTCAACACCAAATATTTATCCGATTGCACCTAATGTTTCAATTTCAGAGTTGTTTATGATTTTGAACTTTTCATAATGTCAACAGATCATTGTTTGATCTTTTTAAAAGAGATAGTATTTCATTATAATTTTCTTTTTACGCAAAAATTAAGGATGAAACTTAAAAAGAGAAATCACTAAAAAAATACTCTTGAATTTCAAAAGGAAATAGAGAAAGTAGTGATTAAAGAAGCTTCCGGCAGAAATAATGAAAAATAAAAGTTTAAAAAGTTGAGCTTTAATGAAGCTTAAAAAGCGCAGCATGTGGCGTTTCTCAACAAGTACGCTAACAGCTGGCTTTCCTTTAAAGCTTTCTTCCTAAATGATTTCTTAAATCCTCTCAATCCCCTGGCTTGTTCTCTTAGTATTTTTTGGTACTTTGTAATCCGTAAATCTAAGAACTTTTCCAAATTGCTTCACTTTTTATATAATAGTTAATACGTGTTTTTTTATTTTTACTTCTCCTAAAATCATTTTATATTTTTTGTACTATATACATCAACAGTGTTTAAAGTTTTCAATCCGGAAACATATAATTAAATTTGAAAAAAATAGCAAAGAAGATTAGCATAAAACAAGTAAAGTTATTTAAAGAGATTTGCATAAATTAAAGTTCGGGGAATTGGTTTTATCCATTTTTGTAATGATGCACTTCTTCCTTTTATATACTTTTTTATAGAGAAAATAAGTAAATGCATTTTTTAAGAACTGTGCTTCGACCATTTATAAAACAAAATAATTAAATTGAAAATATGAAATGATATGAGCTTTTAAGCATTTAACATTTTTATCGCAGTATTTTTTTACTTCGCAGGGTTTAAATGGATAAATAATGCTTAGAAACATAAATATTAACTTAAGTAAATATATTTTTAAAAAAATGCTATATAGGTCTCCAATTTACAGAATAAAGTATTATACTGTAAATATTAAATGATATGTACTTTTCCCTATTTTAAATTTTTATCGTAGTATTTTTTTTTTCACCTCACAGGGTTTAAATGGATCAATAAATTTTAGTTTACATACTTTTGATTATGATAATAAAGTTTCGTTGCATACTTTTCATTAGTTTCATAATTTTTTGTTCATAAGTTTATATACTTTTGATTATAGTAAAGTTTTGAAACAAATAATTGTAACTGTATTAATTAGTAGAAGTAATTTCTTTTTTAAATTACTTAGGCTGATAATTAAACAATTTTGCCAAAATATGATCCCTTGGCGAGCATATCGTTAAAAAGAACTAATTAAAATTCTATTAACAACTACTATTGTTGAGAGCCAGATAGTATTTTTTAATATTTTTCTTGAACGCCTTCCCTATACCATAATTATTCAACATCTTACGAAATATATGATTTGTTCACCATTGTAGCACATGATGTACAAATTATTTTACTGTTTTCTTTTATTATTTCATAAAACGATTATACAGGAATAGAATATTGTCATACCAGAATAGGGGTGTTATTTATAATTGCTATCGTATAAAATGCTAAACGCTGAATAAAAGGAAGGATTATCCAAATAGCTTGAAATTTGAGTACACTTTTAA